TTTAGTCTCTGGCAGAATAAAGAATCAATCAAAATACATTGCTGTAACATTTTTATATCCTGCAAGTCCGAGATAGTAGCCTTTCTCCCCTGCCAATCTAAGCCCCTCCAAACTGATTCCCACAGACTGACGTTGACAAGAGTAAAGCAGAGGTGTTCCGTGGCGAGGACAAAGCAACTGTCCATCCACACTAATAGCAAAGAGCAAGTGAATCGGCGAAAGGAAAACAAGGGGCAGGCACCAGCGAGTTCGTTGTCCACAGCCTGCTGAGAGACTTTCTCGTGACATGACGCTTTTTTAATTCATGGCTGCTTGAATACAGTTGTGTGAGCTTTTCTTCAGTTCAGACATTTGTCCCAGGCCTCAGGGGGGCATCTGGGATGCCCTGGCATCCAGGACCCTGAGCCTCCGTCCCGGGCTGAGTGAAGTCAGCCAGGCAAGCTGCTCTCCACGCCCCGGGCCCCAGGGCTTGCACGCTGCAGGGAGGTTGCACGATGGCCAGTTCCCCCTGGCACTGTCTGCAGCAGTGACTGACCTCTGGCCTCTTTCTGCTGGGTGGCTCTGCCACCTTGGCAGCCCTTCCTTCCCATTTTACAGATGGGGAAGAGAAGGCATTTATTTCAAGGGTCAGGCCTAGAAGTGATGAAAATCCTTTCACACTCTTTCTGTGCTGAGTCATGGGGCCAAAGTTACCGCAACAGAGCCCATGCTCTGGGAACCATTGTGACGAGCAACTGGACACGCATAACAAGACGAGTTCTCGGCCTGAAGTGTTCGTTTCCGAGACCTAAAACAGGGTTGCAAACTCAGATGCCTGGAGGGCCAGGATTGTGCAGTCCCACGGAGCGGTGCAGGCAACAGCAGCCGGAGAGGTGCGCAGCGTGACCGGTGATTTAAGGTCCGTGGCACACCGCACTGGCTAGCCCACCGCACTGGCTGGCCCACCGCACTGGCTAGCCCACCGCACTGGCTAGCCCACCGCCTCCGCGCGCCACATCCCCCCGGGCGCTGCCAGCTGGAGAGCCCTCGTCAGCGACGGAAAAAAGTCATCTTTCTGGGAGCAAACTCCAAAGTTGGCTATGTTCTTGAATCAGTACCTGTCAGGATAAACAAAAACCTTTTCTGTTGAAAGGAGGAAGCTCTAAATAGCAGCAAAGAAAGGGGAGCTGAAAAGAGAAGCCGGTGTAAGGAGCGGGATGTAAGGATTCGCTCTCCGTGTGTAAGTTGCAGGCAGGGTCTGTGGCCCAGAGGGCGGAGCTCTGAGCCCTTTGAAAGGACGCCTGGCATCCCCCCAAAGCAGCACAACCCACTCACAACAGGCACAGGTGTTCTTATTGTGCGGCTAACACCGAGATGCGAATTCCCTCCTGATCTCCTACCTGATTTGGGTTCCCGCTGGGTTCCTTTGACTCTGTCTTAGCACAGTCCTCCACGGAACAGTTGTATAGTAGCAACAAAAGTAATATTTTAGTGATGTTGGTAAATGTCTTCTCTGGGGAATATCAGCGAATTATGTATATTGGTTTAAACCCTAATATATAAACAAGATTCTACTCCTAGTAATGATAATAAGAGCAAACATTGATTGAGGAATTACTATATTCCCGGTACTACATCTGGCTCTTTACGATAACCCTCATAATAACCTGTAAGATACTATTTTTCCCCCCATTTTCCATCCGAGGAAACTGAGATACAGGTTTTCCTTGGCCAAAGTCACAGCCGGGAGGTCAGGATTTGCACAGAACCCGCGTGGCTCTGTCCTGTGCTCACCGTCTGTCTGAACATGAGTCCACGTTTATAAGCAGACCGGTTGTAATTTCCAAGTGATAGAAATCCTCTGGCGATCATGCAGTTTGATCTTCTCTGCGCTTTCACAGATGTATTGGTTGCCTGTTGTTTATGAGTTGCAAGCAAAGGCATAAATGAACAAAAGAACCATAGAGAAAGATCATTATTGATGTGGCAGTCAGGACAGATTCGGGATGTTGCTGGCAGCATTTATATTCTGCGAATAAAGAAGGTTTGGGGAGATGCACGCCCAGGCAGTATGTTCATAAGGGTGACATCCGCGGGTGCTGGAGGAGATGTGTGCCTAGTTTGGGAGTAATGTCCAACTGCTCATTTTAAAATCGGCCAGGAATGCTTCTTCATACTCCGCCACCGAACTCAGTGCCATTGAGTTCAGAGAGTTGGCATCCATGACAAGTTCATGCACAGATACTGTTTGAAGTCTGTTAACAAGTCAAAGGGCAATAGCTGTCACTAGAATATGCTGCCACTGCTACCTGGTCAGACATTCAGCTTCTGGGAAACCCTCAATTAGTCTGGATTCTTTCTGAAACGCAGCTTTGTCCGTTCAGAGAGGCGTTCTGTGCAATCCACCGAGGCGCAAGGGAACTCACGGCAAAGCAGAGAGCGCGATGGTTCAAAGGACAAGTTTACATTCCTGTCCCTTTGCCCCGCTGATTCTGACCCATCTTTGAGATGGAAGCAGAAATGTTTGTTCTGTGGGTTTCCGTACCCTGATTCCTCTCTGTGAAATTAGACTCCCTGTCCTCCAGCTTGTACACGTCCCCAAAGAGACCTATAATTTCTGTAAGTTAAAACTTTCATCAGTGAATTAAATGATGACTTGTTAGTGGCTCTTGCCTTCTCTAGTCCACGTTGATGGTTAACACGAGCTAGCTGCTTGTATTCGGTGAGGCACGGTCCTGATCGCTTTGTCTGCACCCGCCCATTGCATCCCCCCGCCCCTCCAAGGGCACATCTTCGATTTGAAAACTGAGACAGAGAGTGGCCATGAGACACGCCAACTCTTGCAGTCAGTCAAGGACAGAGCCCAGATCTGGACCAAGTAAAGCGACTCTGGAGTTGGTGCTTCTCCGTCTGCTCCAGGACAACCCTGTGATGACAGTCCCGGGAGTTCAGTGAGGACAGGGCAGTCAGTGGGTGAAGGGCTGCTGGGAGGAGTGAGCGAGTTCATTATTTGACTAATTCTTTCCTCGCTACGTCACACCTTGCCCAGGAGGGTACTGCATGCTTTTATATTATTAAGCCTTTAACCTGAATTTTGACTGGTCAGTGGAGTGCCAAGAATATGCCAAAAACGGGAGCCTCTGGATCCCTCCCATTGCTCCCACCCTCCCTGAGGGTCAGCAGTCGGAAAAGGTTTCTTTTTCCTCGGTGACTCCGGAGGAACCCCGAGTAGAGCCAAGGAGTTGGGACAGAGGGTGAGCTGCAGAGACGTGAACGGGGGACTCCCTCACCCATACTCTCAATCAGTTCTGGATTCTTACACTCAGGATCCCTGGAGAAACCTCCTCTCCTGTAGTCCTGTGGGATGACCGGTCTAGTGGGCTGGGATTTGAGGGCAGAATGAGCTGATTAGAAGGTTAATACATAATTGTAGACACAGGGAGCCTGGAGGCCACCTTTGACCATTTGCTGTTTAACTGAATTAATGTTGGCCAGTTATAGATTTTCTGCTTGCAAAATTGCCAGCTAATTACCCTGAGTCCCGAATCTGCATTCTGTGTGTGCGCCGCTTGGGAAAGTCAGCGTTCTGATCGCCTCAGAAGTGATGTCACCAGAGCCTGCTGTCAAAGCAAGGGGAGCTTTCACCAACAGAACCTCACAGACCCTGGACTGGAGCATCCTTCCCCCTTTGATTTTAGAAAGAGGATGTCGGTCAGGGTGAGGACGCTCCCATTTCAGTTTCTCTGATGTTTCGCAGGCTGGCCACACCGTGAACCTCCAGAGATGGATTCTTGTTCTTGTTTTGTAGTTCAGTGTATTTCAGAGAGCTGGTATTTAGAGAGCAGCCTTGGTTCCTCAGCTTCCAACCTTTTGTGCACTCCTTTGAGTTCGCTGGTGGGGATGGCAATGAGTTTCCTCCAACAGCCTGTATGTAGTGGTTAAGAATGTGTGCTCTGGTACCAGTTTGGTTTGCCAAGTAGCAGACGCCTAGGCAAGGACCTGAGAGCAAGTTGTTTTATCTGGAGGATGGGGTCAGAAAAATACTAACAGGGGGTGAGGAAAGGAGCCAGGGAAGAGAAGGTAGCGAACGGGAGGCGAGTCATTCAGTCAGATACCCCTGGAGGCAACTGGAGCTCAAGTCCAAGTGCAAACTGGGAGGCAACACTTGCCTCTGGATATCTCCCTGGGGTACCTGTGCATCAGCTCTCATCCGTATGGTCGCAGGCTGCTCCTGGGGTTGTGCATTTCCAGACACTCTGCTGGTACCCGGTGCTCAGGTAAAGCAGCCACCCACAGGTTACAGACAAATATCTCAGGGCAAATGGTACCAAGTCCCACCACTGAGAGGTATGACAGGAGCACTGACTGTGGACCCTGAAACCCGGATTCAAATTCTGGCTCCACCATCCAGCATGTATGACCTTGGGCAAGAATGTCAGCCTCACCCAGATGCCAGGCTCCTTGTCTGTAAAAAGGCTTCTTACAATAAACTCGTATCGCAGGGTGATTGTGGAGATTAAAGGAGATGATGCATCTAACAAATTTAGCACAGTGCTGGCCATGCAATTAGGGGTGAAAACCATTAGCAGTCATTATTGCAATATATGGAGCATCTTCTCTGTGCTAGTATATGTGGTAGATGCTCGGTAATCCTTGTCTTCATTGGACTGACAGTCTTTGCCCACTAAACCTACAACTATTTCTTTCCGCACCAAATTACCCTCATCCAGGGTGTGCTATACACTCTGATGTTCCAAAATGTATATCCTAAATCTCCGACCCCCCGGTGAAATATCCCAGGGACTTGCAAAGGCAAAGCGGAGGCTTTGGGAGCAATTGTTCATTTTAAACGTTCTAATCGCCAACTTTACAAAAGTGAAAGGGAAGCGGTGAAATTAATTTTCATCATATTTCATCTACTCTGTAAAATGTTATCATTTCAATGTGTAATCCATGTGGAAGTTATTAAGTTGATGTTTTACTTTACTTTTGTTTCTGGGATTCAGTCTTCAAAATCCAGCATGTATTTTATACTGACAGCGTCAGCCCAGCCGCATCGTAAGGGCTCCGTAGATGTGTGTGGCTGGTGGCCACCCTGTCGGACTGGGACGGTCCGGTGGGGCCTGGAGGGCTTTTAGAAGAAACTACCAGTGGGATAGTTCTGTTTCCCTCCTCTTTATAGATGCCAATGCTCCTAGCATCGATGACAGTGGAGTTGGTTTTAGCTTGGGCATCGTAGGAAACTGACAGCTTTTGCAATGCAATTCCACACAGGGCAGGTGTAAGGACCTGACAAAGTGGTTCCTTTACCTGCATCTGAATGGAAACAGCCACGGCTGTTCCCGTTGACACGTTTTCCAAACATCGTTGCCAAAGCAAAAGCGTTGGCAACCACAGGAGAAGGATCCACTCGCCTCTTCATTTGGGAAATGAAATGATAATCCTCAGCTCCTTCCTAAAAGTCACAGAGTTGGTGCAAGTTAGCAGGCCCAACACATGTGCTGCTGTTAACACATTGATGGCTTCGGTGTTCTCAGGTCCTGCCGCTCACCTCCGCGGAAGACTTGGACTGCGCTCCTGGATTTCAGCAGAAAGTGTTCCACATCGACCAGCCCGTGGAATTCATCGAGGACCAGGCGATTCTAAACTGTAAGCGATGTCACTCGATGTGTTTGGCCTAGTCTCATATTTAAAGTCACCAGTGTCTGTGGATATGTCTCAGGATGTGGTATTCCTTCAACTAAGTGTTTCCTGCTCCTTGTTCTCATTCTGCTTGATCCAGAGTGGAAGGTCTTGATTTAGGGCCAGCTTAGAGGCGCACAGAGTGATGTGTATCTCTTTTTAATATTTTGTCCCTGGTGTTTTCCAACCCCTCCCAGAAAAGGGCACCGCTGCCTTCTACTGTGAGTGCTATTCTGTGCAAAGGAAATGGAATTCATTTTGCCTGGGCAGATCCCTGAGAGTAAAACGATGGCCCTCCCGTGGTCCACTGTTCTGTCTGTGGTTGGTCATTCATAGCATCAGATCAAAATAATGGTGAGAGCAGAATGTTGGCTTCTGGGGACTTCTAGGCATAGGAATTCAGAACTCGTATTCTTTTTTTTTTTTTTAATTTGTTTTTATTTTTATTGTTGATATTATTACAGATGTTCCCATTCCCTCCCCCCTTTGCCTCCCTCCCCCCAGGCCGCACCCTCCCGTCCCTCTGGCCCTCACCACCTTCATTACTGTCTGTGCCCATGATCTATGCATATATGTTCTTTGACTCTTCTTTTCACCTCCTTTCAGCACATCCACCCCACCCACCTCCCCTCTGACACACGTCAGTCTGTGCCGTGTATCATCCATGGCTCTGATTCTATTTTGTTCGTCGGTTTATTGTGTTCATTAGATTCCACGTATAAGTGAGATCATATGGTATTTGCCTTTCTCTGGCTGGCTTATTTCGCTTAGTATTATAATTCTTAAGGCTAATAAGATGGCATTCAGAAAGAGTCAAAACCTCTGCTGGCTATTTGTGGATTATACTCAAATTCCAAATTCTAGTTAATTTCCTTAAAATATGCTCAGACCTGTGGTTATAATCTCTTCCTGTTATTAATGCTGATATTATACTGTGTAATCTTTATGGGGGCATAGAACACATTGCTAAACGCACAACAAACCTACTTTTAGCACAGTAGAATGTAACACTGGTGGTAGATTAATAACTATTTAATCGTAGGCTTTTGAGCACTATTCTTCCACATTGGGGAACAAAGGACATGAAAACAGTGGTGGACTTTGGTCAGATGTTCTGAGGTCCCTTCAGGGAAGATAATTGTACATTTGCCCTTATGGCCTGAGGTTTGCCTCCGAGGCTAGACACAGTCTTGCCTTCCTGTGCTGTGTGGCTGGCATGTTTAAAGAAAAGTTTGTTTAAACACCAGCCTGCCTGATTAGATTGTTCTGTGAGGCCGGGACGTATTTTAAGAGTTGAAAGGAGGACAATAATAAAGATGCAATGTTGAGCATCAAGGGAGCTGTCCAAGGTGAAGCCCTGGCACCTCTTGATGCAATTATGCCAATGAAATCATTTCAGTAATTAGAGTCTGTAATGACAAGGGGCAGGACTGGCACAATAAGTGAATTCCAATATGTGATTTCATATTAATTTGATCCCTGAGTGTGACTCCTGGGTCAGGACATCAGAAACCCTCATTTGTCTTTTGATTCTGCTATTAATCAGAATCAATATATTTCAAATGAAACTTAGTTTACAAGAACCATTTCTTCTGGCTTTCCTCTCATCTGTCTCTTTCTCTTTCTCTCTCTCTCTCACTTTTTTTTTTCCCAGTGATTATCGCAAATGGTATCTCTATTAACATGCATGGACATGTGAAGCCACCTTGAGTATGGAAATTAATAGCATCGGTATGCAAAGCAGGCCCATAAATGTGATTGCTTCTGTAATCTTTGCTACACCAAACAGCTTTTAATTCACTGTTGAGAAGCCGGAAACAATCATACTTTGGGGGATCTTTTTAATTTAAAGTAGACTATACCGTACATTCCAATATCACAGTTGTGTGTGTGTGTGTGTGTGTGTGTGTGTAGTGTCTTCAAACCCCTAAGTAATTAAGTGGGTTATGGTTGTTGGTTCTGTGTAAGCTAGGAAATGGTAAATAGAACTGAGTTGATTATCAATGATAGCGCCTTCAGAAAAAGTCAGTGGTATGGGAATTGAGAATATTTTCAATTTTATATGTGAATTTGTGTGTGAATTGTTGGATCAGCAAAATCTTAGTAAAACGGTAGGTCCATATCTATTACTGGGGTGAAAAAAATACAGAGAACAGATCTAGTTATGTACTTCTGAGTTCATCTCAAAGCAACGGACACAGGTTATTATGGGTATAGACCCCTGTGAATAAATGTAATTGTACCTAAATGAAGAAGACAGTTTTTATATATTAGAGGAGGTTTATTGAATATTGTGTGGAAAATCTGGATTTCCAGAAGCCGTAGCGCAATGTATTGCTCTATTTCACTTGCAAGAAGAAATAAAAAACTCAAAATATTGAAAGGACTTTTTTCTAACCAACCAACATTTTAAGAGTCTCTCTCTCCTCTCTCTCTCTCTCTCTCTCTCTCTCTCTCTTTATTGATTTTAGAGAGAGGAAGGGAGAGGGGGAGAGAGATAGAAACATTGATAAAAGAGAACATCAATTGGCCGCCTCCTGCACGACCCCCACTGGGGATCTTGCCCACACCCTGGGCGTGTGCTCTGACCTGGAATCGAACCGGCAACCTCTTGGTGCATGAGCTGATGCTCAACCACTGAGCCACACTGGCTGGGCCCTCTTTTCTCTCTCATTCTTAGTTTCTTTCATGCATTTCCTATCATTCAGCACAAGACCCTTCTGTCTCTGAAAATTGTGATTAACGAAGAAACCGGTGAGGAGTGAGTGTGCTCAGAATGGACACTATTGACACCAAGCTGGCATCTGGGTGAAAACAGGAAAGTATCGGACAAGACCAGAAAGTGTTAACATACGTAGCTATTTGAGGTTGAATGCTGAGATCCAGGAAACAGTGAGGGATGTTTTAGTGATGTATCAACACACTCTGATGTTCTAGGTCATCACCGATGTTAAAAGAAACCAGGTTCCTCGCGTGATCTTGAGCGTGTGTCAATCTCGCTTCTTTCCATTTTCCCGTGATCTGCGCCATAGTGCAGAGCTTCGCTTTCCAAGCACCGAATTCTCGTCTAGCAGAAGGCGTCAGCACAGCATAATCAATCAGTGGATGCCTACCCTTTCCACTCCTCTATAAAGTTGTCTGAAAGCGTTGTTTCCTTGCCCGACACACGTAGTATATTTGCCCATACCCCAGACTCATATTAAACCAATTCTCCGTCCAGCTTTTAGCCAGGTTACAGAGCATGCTTATTCTGCCCACGACTCCCTGCTGCCTTTGTTCAGACAGTCGTATTTCCTTTCATCCTTTTTCATCTCTCTCCTCGATTCTCAATGACTTATCTTTTTCCACTTTAACTGTGACTAATGGTCACCTCCACTCCTTTTATTTCCCTAATATTTTATTCACTGTTCCCTTCGATACATCTTTCCCTCAGTTGTTCTGAAGACTTTCATTTTCTTCACATCCCAGTAACTCTTTATTCTACTCTCCTTCCCACGAACTAGACTCGCTTTCGTCTTTAAAAGGCCATTTTTCAGCGAGCTGCTGGGATGGAAACATGGTATCCCACTATTTCTTCGCACGTTGCCGGGGGCGGGGGGTTCATGGCATCTCTCACTGTGTGATGCCAAGACCCCAACTCGTGCGAACTTGGACCAACCTTTCCTGGCTTCATCTCAGTCTTGAAAGGTGATCTGGGAAGAGGTAGATGTTTATTCCCATCTTTGATGAGAAGTACAGGAAAGAAGAGGAAGAGAGCTTAGAAGGCAAAAACTCATGAAGGAGACACCCATTCAAGGTCTTTGGTTTCAGGGAGGAATCTGTGAGGGGTGGGTGGCGGGAGTCCCTGGCAACCTTCGACACCCAGAATGACCTTCCAGTGGTTGGTGTGGTCACCGTCTTGGCACCATGGACTTGGATAGCAACCCTAGTTGTAGCCTCTCAGCTGATACCCAGGCTCCAAAAGATGAGCCAGCCTGGAAAACTGGCCAGCTGCCCAACAGATATGGAAAAAGACCGAGTGACAAGCCCTGACTATCTTGTGTCAGGCAAAAGTGCAGAACAGAGCCTTCTGCTCCGTCCCTGTCCGCCCAGACAGAGCTCCTGCATGACAGAGGGGCCTGTGATCCCTGCGTCCACTGGGAAACCACACTCGGGACCTCTCACCTCTATAAATGGGAGGCATCTCCAACCACCAGTGGAAGGACCCCCACTGGCCACCCAGCCACTATCTGGTCAGCACTTTTCTTCCACCCTGTTCGTCCCTCATGGATCACTCCTCTTGGACCACACAGACAAGAGAGAAATCGCCACCCCGGAGTTCACCTAAAATGCAAAGTTATAAGTATTTACACTTAATAAAGAAACCACATTGTCAGATTAGGCTTGTCTCAAACAACCCCGGTGACCTAACAGTAGAAGTTTACGTTTTCACTCAGGGCCTGGGGATGCAGGTTGGACTGCTCCCCTGGGTAGCCCTCCTCCAACTGGCTGCTCTCCGAGCAAAGCGAGAGGGACCAGCCTACGTCCAGCTTGGTCCTGTTATCTTGTGCCTTCCAGTCACTCTGATGTCACCATGCTGGCAGCCAGGGGGACAACAAAGAGTACGGGGCAAGCACCCCACATGTTCACCACCTTAGCTCCCAAGGGACAGGTATCATTTCTGCTTTACTCTATAGCCCCTCCCAGGCAGATAACCAGCCTCACTGTGAATACGGCTGGGAAATAGGCAAACTCTTGTTTAGTGTGTGCTCATAGTCTCCGCACAGATCCTACAAAAGCAGTGGCCCCAAGTCCCAAAGAGGCTCCCAAAAAGACAGAATAGACCACACAGGAGGCAGCCACGTCAGAGTCACTCGGCCTACATGGGACAGAAGATGACGTTCAAGCAGGAGAGCAGGCTCCTGCACCTGTGACTCCCTCCTTCCTGCCTAATCGGGGCATGTTCCACCTGGTCCCTCTTAGCAACA